TAATAAACAAATACATAATTAATAGATTTAGGCGTTACAGGTTTCATACCACGGTATGAGTTTTTTTTATCTTCCATAAAAAGACATTTCGGTACGGCTACACGTTGCATGGTTACGGGTTGACTGGACCATTAATTCTTAGACTTTCATAGAGTTGTAAAAAGTCCTTGAAAACCAAATACAAAGATCCGACAACAAGTACATAGAAAAAATCGTGTGTTCCGCTGGTTCGTTCCGTCGCTTAGGTGGCATAGCGTCTAGCACGGATTGCTAGAAGACGTCGAGTATAATAAATATTAATATTGTAATAATAAATGTATTCAAATGTATATTTACAAAGAGCAACCCCTGGAGTTTCTTGCACATTCTAAGTGGAATCTGGCTTACGAATGAGCAGTAGAGTTTAATCAGCATGACGATTTCAATTGTAATTTTATTACCTATGAAATAAAGATTATTTCACTTTGACTTTAGAAAAGCAACGGATTAAAATCCATAGTCTTTGCTATTCTTACGGGAACCGCGCAAGATATACATTAAAATATTCTTCCTTTGTACTTATAACGAAATGTCATTATTAGAAAATAATAGAAAAACAAGCAATAAAATCTTCCTTAAAAAGAAAAGGGGAATGAAAATCGAACGCCGGCAAAAAAATCACAATTTTTATAAGATGCATAAAAATACCACTTACCCGATAAATACCTAGTAAAAAAGCAGTAACTACCTTATCGTGGTAATAGTCTTGATAATGTCTTTAGCTCCGAGGTTGGTTGGAGAAAGGGGCCGATAAACTTGATAAATAAATTATAATGTACATACAATACAGGATTACAATTCCTATGTTAACTGGTTTTAAATGCTATTTTTCTGCATACATTTATATTATAATATATTATTATTTTTTACGTTTCTTATTTGTAATTTTTTCATTAAAAAACCGAGGGAATTGCCGATTTAATTCCGCCTTCTACTTTCCGTCATCGAGGGACCAGACGTAGGCTGGGGTTCTACCCCTATCAAAAAATTCGCTTCCACATTTATATGGCGAACGGCTATGGAGTGGTATTCCCTGTCTGCAGACTTATTCCCTGAACGGTATAACTTGGACCTTTGAAGGCGAGAGTGAATGGGCATTATTTAGGTGTGCATATTTCATCGTCGACTGTCTTGCCACTTTCCATCAGGTGCGATGGAAGTCAAATGCGCATTTAGTTTTTAAATTAAAAAAAAAAACAAAAAACCCCAAAAGTTTGAGGAATTACGTCACAAAAAATAGATGACTATTTGCCAAGTTTTATTGAAATTGGTTGACGAAAAATATCACCACCCTTAGAGGTGGAATATTTTCTTCAAATTAGAACGGACCCATAACTGAAGTACCCTCTTTGCAATAAAAAAAAAATTGTGAAAAAAATCAGTTCACAAATATCGGAGTAACATACAAAAAAAATACGAAGTCGGTTAAAAATTGTTTCCCATTCGCCGTGTTATATTACAAATTATTGGGTAATTACGATCTGTTGACGCATTTTAATGGCGCGCACGCTGCGCAGAGACTGTGCATCTAACTGGCATGGCAAAATACGCTGTATACTTTCATCTTTTTGGTTTTATCTTTAGTTTATTTATATTATTTTAAATGTTGTTGCCTAGTAAATAGAATTCAGAGTCGCCATTAGTAACTGAGCGCTTACTGTAACGTGTGACACACATTAACATAATAGAATTCTATGTTTCTGAATTTCAGAACACATGTCTTTAAAACATTCTATATAATATTTGTTTCAAGTAAACATTTTAGTCATGAAATGTTTAAGTATAAAAACCATTCTTTTCCGCAGCCGTCTAGAATTTAACGTCATGATTACGCCAGTAAATGCTTTCGCAGCGTAAACAATTATGCACGGTTAATGTACTCACGTTGTATTTCGTGGTTATACTTGAGAGAAGGTACCATTGTAGATTACATACAAGTGTAACATGAAAAACGGGGGCTTATGTATTATAATTTATTAAGCACACGAAAAATGTTTCAATGTTTTAGTTATATTTTACTATCCAGTAGCGAAGGGTTATTTGTAAAAGGAAATCAGCTCTGAGAAGCCGATTCAGAGACTGTCTATATGGCACTATTAATGATGAAGTGATGAAATTAGGAAAGTATTGATTAAACAAACTCGCATTTCATTTACATTTTTTTATGATACCAAGTGTCGGGACGAATAAGGCATGCGCCTGGTGGTAAGCGACACGCCTGTCCATAATAGTTGCAGTGCCACTCCGAGCTATAAATCAAAAAAGATCTAAGGGACACTACCACTGCGCCCGTCATCCTAAGAAACAAGTCTCATGTGCTTGTAATTTCACCAGAACCCTTACGCTTCAAAACCGGAACGCAGTAATGCTCACGTTACTGCTTGGTGATAGGAATAGGTAAAGTAGCAGTTATTCCCTGGACGAACTCTTTCATAAGCTCTATTGATACTATATAATCTTATAATAAGCGTTATATTTTGTGATCATACTCCCGTAATCGAGATACTAAGGCTCTACTCACACTGACGCAGATTCGAAGCGTCGCGTCGTTTCTTGTTTTTCAAACTACAACGCATAGCGACACTCGCATTAGCGCGCCCGGATCACAGTGTGGTCGGTAAAGCGTCACTGCGCGCAAGTAACGCGCATTTAATGTAAAGTAATGCATAACACATATTTGTACCTTAATATTGGGAAAATATAGATGAATATGCTATAGGCGAAAAACATGAACATGATGCTTTAACAAAGGTTGTTTCAATATAGCACGAGAATACTATGATGAATATTTTAATTTTTTTTAAACTATGTTTACACCCTGTAGGTACAACTAAAATAAAAACGTGACCACCGTACGTAGTTCCAAGCGACAATGTGTAGGCTTTAGCACACCGAACAGCCGGGAGTTACGCTAGTCTTATTATACTATGATTTTAAGCATGATACATTACGTCAAGGCTCATGGTACCTTTCATCTTGTGACGCCACATTTGATTGCTATTGAAAGTCTTTGAATAGTCTTTTCATTTTATCTCAATGGATCGGTTATTGCACTAAAGGTAACAAGTTAAGTAATCTTGTAAATCAATGTATTTCACATTTGTACGAAAACTTAAGCCTTCAATTGAAATATTTTGGCTTCTTTCATTTCATAAACACATTTATGTCTCACAGCTGGACTCGGATTACCTCTCAGGCGAGGGCTTAGGTCGTAGTCCACCACCCTGGTTTAATGCGGGTTGGGGACACGTTTTCCGAGGCTGATAACCCTTCTTCGACGTGCAGGTTTTATCACGATATTTCCCTTCACCAAAACACCCATGGTAATCATCAAATTAAGTTTCACACTTTAATTTCGAAAAACTTAGAGATTAGAGAAAAACTTAGACAGCCTCTGCTTGAGAGGCGGTAGGTCAAACTATTAAGATACCACGGTTTCAATTTGTTTAAGATTTGATCTATATCATTTCAATGCCCATGTAACGTACTTGTAGTGCAAACTCGGAGGGACGACATTCGTGGGAAAACAAAGAGGCATGTATCTATCGGTCGAGTCGAGATAACATTTGTTAACGCGTTCATACTTCTGCATAGTGCATACTCAGACTTGCAATGCGTTAACTGTCATGCCATTTCGCAGTTTCCAATATTGATGCTCTGTTGCGACTGCCTTGACGCTATTGTCGTTTACGTTGGTCTTAATAGGAAAGCCACTTTATCCGAAAATTGCAAATTGTAAATGATGAAACGCTACTGCGACGTCTCATTATGTCAATTGACTACAGTTGAGTTTCGCTTGAAATTAAGCGAAATTTTATATCATATTAATTTATGTATTTTTTGAGAAAATACTCCACCTAGTTTGTTGTTGTAATTGGTAAAAATAATTTGACAAAGTCGCCACCTGTAAAAAAATATTAGAAACTTTATGAGAAACTTTTATAGTTTTCTCATAGTTGGCGCTGTGACTAAAAAACCTGTTTTACAAAAGTATGCCAAGAGGCTTATAGGTGACTCGGATTTAGTAGAGGCAAAACTGCAGAGCCTAGAAAACCGCCGTAAAATTGCCTTCTTAACAGTATTCCACAGGATATATCACGGAGATTGTGCGATGGAATTGCATGATTTTGTTCCGCCTTCCTCATTACATCATCGTGGGAGTAGTAGTAGGCTGGGGTTCCCTGCCTGCAGACTTGTTCCCCGTACGCTATAATTTGGGCCTTTTCAAGGCGAGAGTGAATAGGCACTATTTAACTGTGCATGCTACATCGTCGACCTTATTAAAAAACCAGTAAAACCAAAAATAAAGATCTGCAGCGAACACGTATAGAAATTCGTAAGGTTTTGTTGACTCGTTCCTTAACTCAGTTGCTGCTAGTTCAATGCTGGTTCAAGTCCAGCTAGAACGAAAAAACATTCCTTTGAGTTTGTTTGTTTTTTGTCTTAATAATAACAACAAAGGAAAGAAGTTACTGACAGCTATATTGAAATTTTTATGTTCTGAGTTATAACAAACATTTTTGTCAAAATTCTATAATTAGTGATGTAAGAGACGATAATATTCTTTTTTACGGTTAAAATAAGTGACTTCCATCTCACCTGATGGAAAGTGACGAAGAGGTCGACTGTGGATCATGCACACCTATATAACGCCTATTCACTATCGCCTTAAAAAGGCCTAAGTTATAAATTATGATAAAGCTGCAGGCAGGAAATTCCGAGTCCGTGCGACATATAAATGAGGAAACGTAACGCTTATTGCGAATCTTGGGTATATCCACAACATAGGAGTGGAACCTCGGACTACGTCTAGTCCCCCTACTATAGAAAGGGGATGGCGGCATGATGTCATGCGAAAAGTCGTGCGTCTAAGAACGTATTTATCAAGTCTTAATTAACCCGTCAGGCTACATAAACCTATCGAATGAGTATTTAGATTGAATACCATTGTTTTATTGCAGATGAAATCGGCAGCCCGGACACGACATACACGATGGCTTCGATAAACTCCAACGGGGATCTACGGAGCCCTGGAGACCCTCCTGATAAGAAGATTAACGACGCTGATGCCGAGAAACAACCACTCTCAGGGGTAAGTTTTGATAAAATACAAAAGCAACGCTTCTTTCACATAGAGTTACCCCAAAGATTAGGTTCTTTACAGGACTTGTAAAGCGACCGAAACGTTGAAAACAAATAAATAATATACGCGATTCAAATAAGCAACAATCGTGAAAATCTAAGAACTCGTTTGGAACAAATGCGTGTTGTTTTTTTTAATTATTTCCTCGAAGGAAAAGACAAAGTTTAAAACAAATTGTCTAAATACTCGGAATTGACAAAATATTCTGAATTGGTGCTATACCTACTCAGAAATGACGACCCGGGGAAGACGTGGTTTAATTCCTATAAAATACATATAATGGGCTGAAGACTTGACGTATAACTACCATAAGCAAAATCCACTAAGATTTTGGAACAGAATAAAAAGAAGTTTTTCGGCTGTTTTGAGATGACAAGCGCCCGATGAATGGCTCTAAACCTTCGTATTTGGAAATAAACCAATGTTCAAACGATTGTTATACATTGCTTCTTTTGTGTTGATTTGGCAAATGACTAGTAACTGTTCGATCATTGAAAACAGCAATGTCTTCCGCTTTTATAAAAAAAAAAAGTACACCTTTGACCTATAAGGTCGATGATGGAGCATTGCCTATTTAAATAATGTCTATTCACTCTCGCCTTAAAAGGCCCAAGTTATTGCGTTCAGGGATTAAGTCTGCAGGCAGGGAATTCTACTCCTTAGCCGTTCTCCGTATAAATGGGGAAGGTAATAATAATAATAATAATAATAATCGTTTATTTTCTCCCATCATGTACATAATATAGGTTGAAGTGATACAGATAAAAGCGAAAGGATGGGAGACAGGAGCTCAAACTAGGATAGACCTGTGCTATGAGTCTCCTGAACTCCAACACCCGAATACACATACTTGTTTTGAATCGAAAATGACGTAAGGCACAGAGATAACAAAATAAAATAAATAATAAAAGACTAAACAAAAATCGTTCAAAACTACAATACAAAACAAAAATTACATAGATGAGTGGGTAGGTTTTATGTGTGTGTGAGTGAGTGTGTGTATGTGTGTGTGCATGCATGTCTTTATACAGCAGGAGACACTAGTAAATCTTCTGTCTTCTCGTAGTTCAGTTTTTGAAGCCAGCTCGAAACAACCCATTTGCATTCTCTTTGTGTTTTTGAGTAGATATGACAGAATTTGTTGACCCTATTATAGAGTCTACCACCCAAGTATATAAAAAATTTGTTTATGAAAGCGGTTTTACCTTTAAAAGGTTTACAAACCATGTCCTCTCTTCTACTGTTTTTGTTCCCCTTTTCCATGGGGTACTCAACATGGTGGTGTTGCCTGACAACAGAAGTCAAAATAAACAATTGCCTTACTGTTAGAACCCCACATTCCTCGTATAAGATTGATGTAGGATATAGTCGAGGCTTAAAATTACAAATTTTTAAGATCATTCTCTGCGCCCGTTCAGCTTCAAGCATAAATGTTTTAGACGAGCCACCCCAAGTCGATATACAGTACATAAATAGCGATTGACAAAGTGAGATGTAAACCATCTTCATGATATTACCATCCGTCACGTGTCTCAACTGTTTAAAAATATAAGAAAGTTTTCTAACTTTCTTTGTCAATGCTTTAATATGTTCGCAAAAGTTCAAGTTGCCGTCTATAGTTACTCCGAGGTATTTAATGTACTGCGTTTTCAGAATTATTGGACATGAACAATTTTCCCGGGTCTGCTGCGAGAAACAGGAATGAGCGATGATGTTATACTGTTTACTGGATGGTAGTAGATAATTGCGGATTGAGAAAGTAATATACTTCGTCTTCTCACTGTTTAGAGTCAGAGAATTGTCAGCCAACCAATGACATACATGAATAAAACCTTCTTGAGCACTTTGGTAAACAGCGTCCCAAGTATCTCCATGGAAGGTTAGAGTGGTATCATCGGCATATGTGATTATATCGCAACTATCAATTTTTAGGTTACACAAGTCGTTTATGTAGCATAGGAATAGAGTAGGCCCTAAGACACTACCTTGTGGAACGCCAACTTCAACAAAGCTGTCCGAACTCTCTAATCCTCCTATTCTTACCCGCTGAGTACGATTTGTTAGATAGTCCTTAAAGAGTGACAATTGCGTACCTCTAATTCCCATTTTCTCCAGTTTATCCAACAGCCTGGGCAAGGTGCAATCCTAGCCTACGTCTAGTTCCCAGAATGATGGAAAGAGAAAGGTGGAATTAAATCGTGCAATGCATCGTACGCTCTCTCTGATATTACATATCCTATAGAATACCGATAAGCAGGCAAATTTACTATGTTCAAGGCTGTGCAACCAATTGACAACAAACTGTATTTAAAGTAATAATAAAAACCATTTTAAATAATGTGCTATCTGTCGCAATTAGACAGCGAATCCGAATAAACAGTATATCATACCGAAACGCAGCTGAAAATGTTTATGTTAGGAAGAACCAACGTAATGACATGTACGTGTGTCTTAAGATCTTATATTATATGCACTAGTCTGTATTATTATTACTATATTATATCTACTAGTCTATATTATTGTTTCTTTCATCGCATCGCAAATCTCTTATAGACTTGCCTGCGCATAGAGTGTGAAAGTGTCGAAGAGGTCGACAATAGATCTTGCACACCTATATAAAGCTTATTAACTCTCACCTAGGTCCAACTTATAAGGTCCAAGGAATAAACCTGTAGACAGGGAAATCGGAAATCACAAACATTAATTATATAAATCGATAAAATCAAGGTGTTACAGGCAATTTGCTTGGCAGTTCTTACCAGATAAGCCTTGAACTGATTACCACTTGTACGTTTTATATTATTCGGAAGTCTGTTACAAATTCTGATAGCCGAAAGATAGGTGCTGTGGTCAAAGGTAGTGCTGTTTATTACAATGAGGTTAAGACGGTTCTTGTTCCTTAGGTTAACGGAGTAAATATTATTTTAGTTTAAAGTTCCAGTGATTACGTCATATTTCCAAAATGTATATTCCTACCAACTTAAGGAAGTCATTTCTGTCAAGAATTCCACTCCATACCTTTAGTAGCAGTTGAGCTCCTTGTGAAAGAATTCGTCCAGGGAAGTACTGCCAGCTTACATATTTCTGCCGCCAAGTAGTAATGTGCTTTCGTTCCAGTTTTGAAGGGTAAGGGTGCTGGTGAAATTACAGGCACAAGGGACTTGTCAACTTATGTCTCGGGGTGTCGGACGCAGTGGCCGTGCCCCTCAGCTCTTTGGGATTTAAAACACTGAGTGGCACTGCAACTGTTATGAACAGGCGTGTCACTTACCATCAGCCGCACGACTTGTTCGTCCCGTCACTTAGTATTATATAAAAAAATGAAAAACCGTAATGCTTTGTTGGGGTGGAACCCCACCCTACGTTCGATCCCCTGGTGATGCAAAAGGGATGGCGGAATTATTTCATACAATTCCGTTCCATAGTCGCACAACCAGTGTAATGTTTAATGAAACTCTCTTAAAGAATGTGTTTACATTCATTCTGCTTCGACAGAACAGACTACGCATGACGTCATGGCATTGTTGTTGCAGGGAAATTACCATGTGGAAATGCGCGTGGGTCATTATTCGTTTTTGTTTATTTTGTTCCAGTTTCTGACAACATTATAATAATAATAATGATGTGTCAGACAACCACGCCAATTGCCAGATCTCAAACTGTACTACAAAGACTTAGGTAATTAAATAAATGTAAACAAACACTAATGCATATCATGAGGTAGTAATTTATAACCTGGTTACGTATTATAAAATTATAGTGAACTTTTTTGAAAATCATTCTTAATATATTTACAATAATATTTTCAGGTGATAGACAACACTTTACACTACCTATTTAAAATAGTGCTAAATACAGTGTGTTGGTTTGTGTTCTCGCTACATTTAAGAAATTAATAATAGAAATAATGCTAAATCATCTAAAAATATTCTGTTAAATATTCTGACTAATTGAATCTAATGAAGTCTAGCAAAATTGTCCCTAAATCGTATGCACCGCGCGAGAGCAGTGACCCCGCCAGCCCCTTCACTGAGCGAAACGTAATCTTTCTCAATCGCTTATTTACCTATTTTAAATTACAATTACGTATTTTACGTACGTAATTAATATAACTGCCTCCATGACCGAACGATCACCACGCTGAACTGCTTAGCAGAGGTTCCGAGTTCGATTCCCGGGCCGAGAGAAATATTTATATGGCCCACATTTATTTCTCTCGTGAGTCTGAGTGTAACTTGTGGTTGTCTATCTGTGTGTTATTATTATTGTATTATATTTTTTGCTATGTATAATTTAATAATTATTTACATTAATTAGAAAAGATGACTGAAAAAGGTTTTTTTTTTGTAACTACGATTTGGTGCTTACCAACTTTAGGTTACATTAAAGTATTCAGCAAGCAGGATCAGGTGATTGCGAGACCAAACCGGTTAATCAAATGACAGCTGAAGTTTCTATACTTTTAGTTAATTACCTAAACCTTTATACTATTGAGAATTCCCTGTATTATAAATACCAGACGTTACGTTACGTTAACGAAAAGTGGATGAAATCCAATAAACCGGAATTTGCCACCCTTAGACGAGGAATATTTTCTTCAAATTTAAATTGTATCAATACTAAGGTACCTTCTCTTTCCAACAAAAAAAGAATCATCTTATTGGTTCACCGATACCGGAGTTATGGCGTAACATACACCCAAAAAAATACACTCTAATTAAGAACTTCCTCGTATTTTAAAGTCGGTTAAAATAATAGTAAAGATACGTCCTCTGCCGTCCACTAACTAAAAGGCGGCTAAGTGACAAATGGTCAAATATCCGTTGTAAATAGGAAAAGATACGTCTGGCACGGTATGCAAGCAGACGTCGGTTCGAATCCGACCGGATCGAAGGATTTTTTTCTGAGTGTTCGGTCTTTGTATTAATAATTATAACAAACTAGTGGAG